CAACTCAGGTATTTCACTCAGCATAATATCCTCCAGGGTCATCCATTTAGCCTATTTCATGAGTTCCTTGTTTTTCAATGCTGCATAGTATTCCATGTGTGAATATACCAGAGCTTCTCTATCCATTCATTTGTTGATGGGCACTTGGGTTGTTTCCAGCTCTTTGCTATTGTGAACAAAGCCACAATAAATATGGCTGTGCAAGGAGCAATGATTTTGTAAATTATTACCTAAGTTGGGAGGGGCTGGAGAGCATTATGCTGAGTGAACTAACTTAGTCCCACATGGACAAATACTGTATAAAACCATTACTGTAGAATGAGCATGATGATCCAATGGGAGGGCGGGGTAAGGATGAAAGAAGAGGGGTGAGGATGGGGGAGGTATTAATCATGAGGTCACACAATTTGATGGTGGGGTGGTGAGGGAGAGGAAAAGGGTCTGGTGTGAAAATGTATTAGAATTTTGTAAATGAGCTAAAAAATGTATAATAGAATATATGTGAATGATTGTATGAAACTCAATTAAAGATTGTATAAAGTACAATGTATATGAATGAAACATACTGTAAAGGTATTATATTAAAATCAATAAAAATATTTAAAAACCAAAACACAACTTACAATTATCCTGAGTGAAAATAAGGCCAATCCCTAAAGCCTACATATTGTATGATTCCATTTATGTCATATTCTTGAGATGGCAAAATAATAGAAATGGAGAACAGGTAAGTGGTTGCCAGTAGTGAGGAGAGAAGTGAGGTGAGAGACTTCTGCTGTTAACAGGGCAGTGTATAATAGAATGCTTGTGACAATGAAAGAACTACATCCTGTATCGATGGCAGGATCTTGCTTTGCTATTGTATATAGTTTTGCAGGATGTTACCATTGGAGGAAACTAGATAAAGTGTACTGAGATCTTTTAGTATTGTTCCTTAGAACTACTTAGGAATCTAAAAATGGCTTCAGAATAAAAAGTTTTCATTAAACAGCAAAGCAAATATATGAACCCTGAGCATTGCCTAACAAAACACACATGATAGGCAAGTACAGCCTGTTAAACTCTCCCTCTTCCCACCCTAAGCACTCTATTCCATTTGCCTCTAAGTCTGGTAAGGGACAATGGCTGCTTGTGTCCCTTAGTTTAAGAGAAAAGAATCATCTGCCATGCACTTCACAGAGAAATAACTCACCTTGTCTGTATTTAAATTTGGGCCCTGCATGTATGTGGTGTTGGGATTTAGTCCTAAATGGTCTTTTCCCACTGGTGGTCCCTGCAGGCCAACTCCCAACCTTTTAGGTGGTTGATCCCAACTTCTCTGTCTGGCCATCAGTGTTTTATCTTGGGTGGGAAAAGGTAGACCACCCTGTTTTAAGCACAAACCCTTTCAGATGGAAAACAGACCTTTTTAAAAAAAATTTATTAATTTTTATGTGTGTACCTTTGAATCAGATCCTACTGGTACAGGAGCAGATAGTCCCTCCTTCTCCAGTCAAGCATCTGATGGATTTGAATGGTGGTGCACCTTCAGGATTGCAAGGCAGCTACTTGCCACTAGGCCACCAGAGATCCCTGAAAAACAGACATCTTTATGGCACAGGTGTTTTCCTAGTAGACAAAATGAGAGAGGAAATTGAGTCAGTTCCAACTCACAGAGCGCCTCTGAGACTGTAGGTCACAACTCCATGAGAGTGTCTTTGTCCTGTGTAGTCGCTGTCAGCTCCAGAGACACACAGCCTTTGAGTTATCAGCACGACTTGCTGCGGCCTAGACTGCCGGAGTTCCCCTTCAGTAGATGGCTTCCAAACTCCCGTCATTTCCCACTGCCCAAAATTTTGTTTATGGTATCTGAGAATCCTATGTACATGTTGGTCTTCAAAGTGTTCTTTTACACGTGTTTATTTAAGAAGCAAACTCTATGTCACTTCTGAAAATAGAGAACGAGTATCAAAATAGAAGGAGGCCTTAAATACACACAACAGATAAAGGGAAGTCTTCATGTTACCAGTAGATACTGTTTCCTGCCAGAGGCTGAGATCCAAGACCTGTGGCTCTCTGTTCATCTGGGAGCTAACCAAGTTCCAGAGCAGTGTTGAATGCATAGCTGCAGCAATGTGGGCTTTCTCCTTGAGCAGAAAAGGATTGAAGAAAATTTAAATGACAGTTAACTGCTGTTTTCTTAAAACATGGCCATCAACTTTTTAAAATGCAACATATATTTTTTTACAGAATAGTCTTCCCATTTAATTTTCCCCATCCATTCATTGTTGCACATTTCCCCCCCTGCCCACCCCTCCCCCTAATTCGCTTTTCTCTTTGAAAAGAAAAAAATTCTTTCATTCTTATACATTCCCCCCACACACACCCCCCCCCCAAGTCCAGAGTCCACTTTATTATGCATTTCTTTTTCTGGAATCTTGTCATGAAAATAATACCTTATATTCCTTTTAAACAGTTCTCTCCCTCATCTGTTTCAATGCAGTATACATTATTTGTCCCCTCTTTTCTTAAGATCCCCCCACCCTTGGTGTCAGTCTCATTTTATATGCAGTATTTGTCCTATTGTGACTGAGATATTTCACTCAGCATAATGTCCTCAATAGTCACCCATTTTGTATAATATTTCATGAGTTCCTTGTTTTTCAAAGCAGCATAGTATTCCATTGTATTAATATACCACAGCTTCTCTATCCATTTGTTTGTTGATGGGCACTTGGATTGTTTCCAACTCTTTGCTATTGTGAACAAAGCCACGATAAACATGGGTGTGCATATATCTGCTTGAGTGGCAGTTCTTATGTGCCATCAAGTCACCTGCAACTCATAGGGATCCTATCTATGCACAATAGCTCTGAACCCTGCCCTATCCTGAGCTCTATCTTCATTGTCTCTGACACACTCACACCTATTACCCAAATTACTGTCCATCCTTGTCACCCAGGGTCATCTTCTCCTGTGCTGTCCCTCCACCCTTCCAAGAATGATGTCATTCTCCAGGGACTGTCCTCCTGGCAACATGCCCAGAGTATGTGAGAAGAAGCAATGGAGGAACTCTGACATTCAGGAGTTGACAAGAGAGCATCAAGAATCCTGATCCAATTCCAGCCCTCCATGACCAGTCCTGAACTTTCCAAAAGCCTCCCTAGCCCCTTCAAGTAATATTTTAAAACAAATTCAAGGTAATCCCATTCTTTTAATCTGTATCTCAGTCTATCTCTAAAAGATAATGATGGTTATTTTACATCATAACAACCCCGACATCATTTAAAAGGAGGGCCCAGTCATTGGAGAGGGACATCATGTTTGGGAGGATGGAGGGACAGTGCAGGAGAGGAAGACCCTCAATGAGATAGATAGACAGATTCGGTGATTGGGCAATGGGAGTAGGTGTGTTGGAGACAGTGATATTGGCACAGGATAGAGAAGGGTTTAGGGCTCTTGTACATAGGGTCGCTATAAGTTGCAAGCAACATGATGGTGCATAACAACAGTGATGTTCCTGGCAGTTCTGCAGTCCCTACCCTGGAAGGCTTCTGAAGTTGTAAATCTTTATCGAAACAGATTACTTCATTTTTCTCCCTCAGAATAGCTAATGGGATTGAATCATTTACCTTTAGGTTAACAGACAAAATGCCTTAACCCAGCACCACCAGTGCTTCTTACCACCACCAATTCTTACCACCTCCTCTTCTTAATGATTAATTAATGATGTCTATTAATGATGTTGACACAACCCTGTTTGCTGAAACTGAGGAGGACCTGAAGTGCTTGCTGCAGAGAGAGGGTCAAGGACTGCAGCCTTCAATATGGATTGAGGCTCAATGTCAAGAAGACAAGATTCTCACCACTGGACCACTTGGCAGCATCAGGATGGACGGTGAGAGACTGAGATTGTTCACAGCTTTAGTTTGTTTGGCTCCACAGTAAACACTCTTGGCACCAGCAGCCAGGGAATTTAAAGAAGTATTGCAATGGGAAAGTCTGCTGTTAGGGACCTTTCCAAAGTACTGAAGAGCAATGGTGTGTCTCTGGAGACTAAGGTGCGTCTGATACAGACCATGGTCTTTGCTATCACTTGTTATGCATCAGAGAGTTGGACAATGACTAAGGAGGATAGAAAGAGAATTGATGCCTTTGAGCTGTGGTGCTGGAGAAGAGTATTCAATGTACCGTGGACGGCTAGGAAAACAAACAGAATCATCCCGGAGAGGGTTAAATCGGGAGGCTCCTCAGAGGCAAGGATTCTGGGGCTTCGTCTGACATACTTTGGACATGTTGTAAGGAGGGACCGGTCCTTAGAGAGGGACATCATGCTTGGTTGGGTGGAGGGACGGCGCAGGAGGTGGATTGATTCAGTGACTGGGATAATCGGGATGGGTGTGTCAGAGGCAGTGAGATTGGCACAGGATAGAGCAGGGTTTAGGGCTGTTGCACATAGGATCGCTATGAGTTGCAAGCGACTCCACGGCAGATAACAACAACAACATTAATGATGTCTGCCGCTGTCCGTTGGAGCCTGAACAGGGGAGCGCGAGCTCACAGCCCGCTTGGTGCTCGCCGCGGGACGGCCGCGCGGGGGCGCCGCTGCTGCGGGGCGGCAAGGGCCCGCTCCAGCCATGCCGAATAAAAACAAAAAAGAGAAAGGACCAAAAGCTGGGAGAAGTTCAAAAGAAGGACAATACTCAGAACAAGAGACTGCCAGCCGGAAAAACAGCACTGCTGCGGTCCAGGCTGCCGCAGCGACTAATAAAGTAAAAGCGCCACCCTCGCCGCCCACAGCGAAGCCGGCCGCTGTGTGCTGTGCGGTTTAACACCAACAACCAAGGAGAGCTGCAGAAACTGTCTCTTTGAAAGATGTTCCTCCTGCTCATTAGGAGCAGAACTTCCTCCAGAAGGTGTTGTGTCCTCTTTGACTTTGTTTACGACCCCACTCCAGTGACCTCAAGGGGAAGGAAGTGAGACGAGCTGCGTTGAGTGAAACGGTGGAGTGTACCACCCAAGATCGGAACGTCATCACAGAGCCGATTTACCCCACGTGGTCGACATGTGTGCAGCTCGGACACCTTCCTGCAATCCCACGGGAGCGGAATGCGACCCAGAGGAGGGCGAGCCTGCCTTAGAAACAGCCTGGCCTCACCTACTGCTAGCTCGTTTATGATTTTTTTATTAAGATTTTTAGAATCTCCAGATTTCCAACCTAGTATAGCAAAGAAGTACATTGACCAGAAGTTTGTATTGCACCTTTTATACCTCTTTGACAGTGAAGACCTGAGAAAGAGAAATTTCCTCAAAACTACCCTTTACAAAGTCTATAGCGAATTCCTCGGCCTGAGAGCATACATCAGGAAACAGACGTATAACATCTTTTATAGCTTCATTTATGAAACAGCACCACCATGGTGTAGCAGAATTGCTGGGAATATTAGGAAGTATAATCAGTAGGTTTGTCTTACCACTGACGGAAGAGCACAAGATTTTCTTACCGAAGGTGTTACTTACTACCTTTAGACAAGGTGTTAATCCCTGAGGAGTACCATCTACAGCAGACATACTTTGTCGTGCAGTTTTTCAAAAAGGACAGCACCCTCACTGAACCTGTGTAATGGCACTTCTCAGATATTGGCCAAAGATGTACAGTCCAAAGGAAGTCATGTTCCTCATTGAGCTGGAAGAGATCCTGCATGTGATCAAGCCCTCGGAGTTCATCAAGGTCATGGAGCCTTTCTTCAGGCAGGTGGCCAAGTGTGTGTCCAGGCCACACTTCCAGGTGGCCAAGTGGGCACTGTATTACTGGAATAACGAGCACATCGTGAGTTTGATCAGCAACACCATGGCCAGGATCCTACCCGTCATAGTTCCGTCATTGTACAGCAATTCAAAGACCCACTAGAATGGAGATGAACCAAACACTCTTTGATGACTGCACACAGTGGTTCAAGGCCGAGAAGCTCAAAGAGAAGCTCAAAATGAACAAGAAGTGTGGGTTAAAATAGAGAATCTAGCTCAAACCAATTCTCAGATACTGAAGAAAAGAAGCACTTGAGTGTGTGCAATGGATTGCCAGAAAGTTTTATATAACATAGGTGTTGTGGCCTCATCATGTGCAGGAAGAGACATTGATTTCACTAACACTGTATGTGAAGTGACCTGCAATAAAACATACTTTTCAATTTTGTAAAGGAAAAAAAAATTCTTAATTGTGAAGTATTCAATTGTAGGTTAGATTTCCAACTGTTACAGAAATGTCATGCCTCTTTGTGTTTCACAGTACATGTTTTAAAAATCAGGATAGTGGCAAAGTTTCACAGGGCAGCAAGTAATAGATGCTGGAGAGGATGTTGCGAGAAAGGAACTCTCATACATTGTTGGTGGGATTATAAAATAGTACAACCATTCTGGAAGGCAGTTTGGCACTTCCTCAAAAAGCTGAACATAGAAATTCCATATGACCCAGCTATTCCACTGCTAGGAATATACCCTGAGGATATGAGAACTGAGGCACAAACTGAGATTTGTACACCAATGTTCATAGCAGCATTATTCACCATCACAAGAACATGGAAGCAGCCCAAATGTCCAGCCACAAATGAATGGATTGAAAAATTATGATATATTCACAAAGTGGAATATTATGCAGCACACAAGAGCAATAACTTTGTAAATTACCTAACTTGGGAGGAACTGAAGAATATTATGCTTGGTGAACTGACTCAGTCCCACAAGGATAAATATTGTATAAAACCATTATTATAGAATGAGTATAAGGATCCAGGAGGGGTGGGAGAGGCTGGAAGCAGAGGGATGTGGATGTGCAGGGGGGAGGGGGGATTAATCATTAGGTTGTACAATTTGATGGGGGGGTAAGGGAAATTGAATTTGTTCAAATTTGTATTCTAATTTTGTAAATAGACTAGTAGAGAAAAAAATCAGTATAATAAATAAAAGGCTTTTCAAGTCTTTTTTTAAATTCTAGGTTCCTCCATCATCTCTTTGTCCCCTTGCATTTTTGTTGTTACTCCTTTATCTTTTGTCATGTCTTATGCACCATCAAGTTGGAACTGGCTTATAGCTGAGCCTCCAGCCAGGTTTTCAGAGGCAGTTAGTTGCATGGAAGAAGATGGCCCATCTTTCTCCTGAGGAGCTGCTGGTGATATCCTTTGAGTACCTTGTGTGTTTTTGAGTGGCCCCCTGTTCAGAATGAGCATCCTGTACCACACAGTTCAGTTGGCCTGTACTGAGTGGGTACCTCGGCAGTAGCGATGGGGGCTCCTCTCTGGTGAGTTTGAAATGCAGTTTTGTTTAAAGTTCTAGAAAACAAAGGAAAGGCCCACCATAGGGCCTTCAACAACATCTCTGACCTGGAAGCAGTGCTTTAGAGAAAAGAAAAAAGAAAGAAAATAGGAGAATTGGAATGGCATCAGCCTTTGCAAACTGCTTTTCAAAACATCATCATCATTAAGATAATGGTGCCAGTTTATTATAGAAATCGCTGCCTTTCATCAATGCCCAGACATGCTGCCTTGCTATGGGACTGTATAAGTGCTTTAACTCTCTTTCCAGGTGCGTGTTCACCCTCTGCTGGGATCAGTAGCCATTTGTTTCTACCAACTGGCCATCTCCCCAATGGGCCACTGACTCCCTTCTCCTCCACAGGCTTTCTGTGGGGCAGTGACTGCAGAGTGAATGTGTTTCAATCCTCTCCAGAAGGCAGACAGCTCATTATCCCAGAGGCCTGCCCCCTGCATAAGCCTGGCACCAGCACATCTGGCTGAGCACCTCAGACAGATCCCATCTGCTTCTAAAGAAGCACATATTCCCCACTCTCTACCCCCAGCATTGCCCAGCCTGCCTGGGGGGTATCTGTGTTTCATCTCCACTGGTGCCCACACAGTCTTCTACTCAACAGGCCCTAGTGCACCCCTTGTTGGCTTGTGCACCAGAGACCCCCCCCCAAGTTGTCTTTGGAAGAGATGGTATTATACTCCTGATTCTGACATGTTATACCCAGAGAGCAGAAGACAGACAAGCATTTATGTGCCTAAGTATCAAAAACAGCAACATGCAAAAACATTTCCTCAATACAAGAGAATGACAGATAAAGGACATCCTTTGGAGCAAACATAAGGAAAAGCAAATACACAGATATAATGGTGCAGGTGCCAGGGCTTCCCACGTCAAGGCAAAGCAGAAGGCCTGGAAGTTGTTGGTCTGTGGTTGGCAGTGGGAACATAGGGTCTTCATCAGCAATGCAGCACTGGACATTCTCACCAGGTCATGCCAAGAAATCTGGAGGACAGCTACCTGGTCAATTGACTGTAAGAGACATGTATTTTTACCCATTCTCCAAAAAAGGTGATCCAACAGAAAGTGGAAGTTATTAAACAATCTTTTCAATCACATGCAAGCTCAATCCTGTGGAAGATCATCCAAAACCATCTAGAACAATACGTGGACAGAGAATTTCTAAACTACTGGGGTTTAGCACTAAGGATATCAGCTGATGTCAGATAGATCTTGGCTGAAAGCAGACAGTACTAGAAGGATGACTATTTGTGTTTTATCATCTATGCAAAGGCATTTGACTGTGTGGATCACAACAAATTGTGGCTGATCTTGAGAAGGACAGGAATCCCACAACACTTGATTTGGTTCTTGTGGAACTTAGACCAAGAAACTGTCCTCTGAACACAGCAAGGGAACATCGTTCAAAATGAAAAAAATGAATGCATCAGGGATGTATCTTACCTCCATATGTTTTCAATCTATATGCAAACCATATAATCTGAACATTTGATAGGCTGAATGTGGCATCAGGATTGGAGGAAGATTCATCAACAATTTACATTACTCAGATGACATAACCTTGTTCACTGAAACTGAGAACCTGAAATGCTTGCTGCGGAAGATCAAGGGCTGTAGCCTTCAGTATGGATTGCACCTCAACAACAGGAAAACAAAAATCCTCACCTTCAGGCCCATAGGCAGCACTGTGATAGATGGAGAAAAGATTGAAGTTGTTAACAATTTCATCTTGCTTGGATCCACAATGAACACTCTTGGTACCAGCTGTCAGAAAAGCAAAAGATGGGAAAATTTGCTGTCAAGGACCTCTCCAGATTAAAGACTCCAGATTAAAGTGTGCCTGTTCTAAGCCATGCTCTTCTCAATTGCTTGCTATGCATTTGAGAGCTAGACAATGGCTAGGAATGACAGAAGTAGAATTGATGGGTTTGAATTGTGGTGGTGGAGAAGAGTTTTAAATGTACTAAGAGAACAAATCTGTCCTAGAGAGAATGAGACCAGGTTGCTCCTTGGACACAAAGATTGTGAAGCTCGGTCTCATGTACTTTGGGCATACTGTCAGGAGGACCAATCCTTGGAGAAGGACATCATGCTTGGAAGGGTGGAAGATCCATGCACTAGAGCAAGGTCCTGAATGAGATGGAGAACACAGTTACTTTGGAAAATGGAGTCAGTGAGGTTGGCTCAAGATGGGCAAGTTTCAGAGCTGTTGTGCATAGAGTTGCTATAAATTGCAGTTGCCTCAATGCATGATGCTCTGGCCTTTCATGCTGTGGCCCCTGCTTACTGCACTAGGATTACCTGACTTCTGTCTCC